GTGGGGGGGGGGGGGGGGGCATTTGATATTGCGGAAGTGGATTTAGGACAACCTCATCAGAGAGAGTGAACGCTGGTACTTTATTTCACAATAAGTAAGATAGCATATATAAATATTCCATCTAACAGTACATGCTTCTTCGGAATAAAGGTCAGCTATTTCTGCGACTGGTTGCCTGGCACCTGACATCGGACTCCAGGTCCTTCGTCAATAATACACCTTGCTTCCGGGGCCGTCCCTTATGAGCTACACTAAGATACCCTGTACCTGATCTCACTCGGTCACCAAAAAGCGACATAGGGTAGAGGTCTTTAGGTTGACCAGAGTAAGAACTACCAACTGACATATTCGCGTGCAGTTCATATTGTAACCAGAGGTTCTCAGTCAAACAGAGTTTTGGGGCAAGGACGAGTTTTGTGACTTACGTAGGTGAAAGAATTCCTCTTAGAATGAACAACAGACTTTACAAGGCTACTGAACTATCCCCGAGGTGATGGAATATATTGCGCCCTTTGCTCGTATAAGCGCAAGCCCGCCACGCACCTATGTGCTGGCGCCAATAAATGCACCACCCAATCCCATAAGTTTTGCGAGGGGATCAACAAAGGATTGAATTTCCAGAAAAGTACTGTTTAACTGAATGATACTGTCCAGAATGGAACGCCACATTAACTTCTTTTCACGTGTCTGTCGACAATAAACTGCCCCCGGAAAGGGTACCGCTACATTGTATGATAGGACTGGTGACCCGTCGTCAGGACATGGGATGAAAAGCTGCAATGTCCAGCACATGAAGCCATAAGTGACTTTCATGACAAGGTAAAATCTCTGGGATCAACCGAAAATACATTTTTGTACTGGAAGAGGGAATCCGTGTTTCCCAAAAAGTCATTATTAATGTATCTAGGGCTGCCTACATAATGTATCATCCACTGAAGACCCCAACCCATCTTGTTTAGTTTCTTCGACTATCTAGCCTGACTTGATACAAGTGAATAAGTTCAAACGTTTGAAAGTACTGAATCGAACTAACTATTACGCAGTAGTGTAGTATAAGTTGTATCGAAACTGATTGTAATCCTGTTGGGTTACTCGTTGTTTCCTTTGGGCTGACAACCCGACCGATATGGGCAAACTTAGATTTGCTGGTAATGCTACTCAGATACCCTAAATATTGAAACAATCTAAGGTTGACGGAAACTCGGGGAGTGTGCCTACCTGATAAGCCCCAAGAAGGGCAAAACTGGTCGTGGGCTGTCGAAGAGTCTTCAGCAACCTCGTAAGTAGGTTCATTTATGAAAACCTAGCTATTTCTTTTTTCCTATGATTGTAACCACAGCCAAGCACGCCAAACCAGTGTATGACAGCCCAATGTAGCGAACTGACGAGTGCTCAACATTGGTTGCTCAGCATGGATGGGAAAACTAAAGTCATAAAAATGGAACGAAATTGAAACCACAGTGGTCTACCCTGAAATGGTACTTGAATGGCGAAGGTCGAGCCACTGTTCCGAGAGAACGCATTGCCGTCAACAGGGCCACTGAGTCCTGAGTGAAGGTATCCATTGGGACTAGGTTACCGTATATAGGAAAACTCCTGCTGTTAACTGATAAGGTTACGACATGATTCAAACAGCCCACATGCTACTTTGTTACAGCGTTTTATCGTGTGAGGTGTTCGTCGGAAGGGGATTCAGGAGAAAAAACAGGGTCCAGTGAAATCGCTCCTTGTGAAAGTATTTCTTCCTAACAAGGAATCACTGTATAATGTACACATAAGCTGCAAGTCGATCTTTCGATAAAGTGTGCGATTCGCCTCCCTGAATAACCTTGTGTTTGGATGGGTAGCGATCTTCTGGCACACCAGATATATCGGGGAAGTCCGAAAACCCGTCCAAAAAAGTATTACTTTAAAAAGGACGAAAATATGGTTCCCGCAATACTATGTAAATTCTGTGCAGTAGGGTATAACGAACTGTGATCGCAGCAGCAGCCCCACCTCTGAGAGAGGCCATCCCAATACAGGTCCAACAGCCTCCTACCCCACAGAGACTACTTTCCGACTGTATATGTCACATGATAACATCAACATTGGATCTTTTTTTGGACACACGATTCACTAACTGGAAAAATTGACCATATAAGCAAATCATAAGTCTATTCATAGTCTATTCTTTACTGAGCTGTTAGCTCTTTCCGACATTTGAAAACATCACGCGCACTGAGCTTACCCTAAATGATGCAGTCTGACACAGCTACGGTACTTCAGCAAGAAAGCTGTTCAAAGAGTAGTCTTCTAATATCATTTACGGTGCCCTAGAATGATGAACACTTGAATAAACCGTCGAATTCGATAACCTACACGCGCGAAGACGTTCCTGAGGTTAGAGAACTTAATTACCTTGTCGTTATCTTCATAACACAGATTGACTGTTTGTTAGTTATCTCCTTTTCCAACAGTACACCAAATATCGGGACAAATGCTGATGGGCAAATCACCAGGCAACCTGGCATGTATTCAGGTAAAACGCAATAGGTTCGCTAGGACAGATAGCAGTCCTGCATTCCTATCCGAAGGGGAGCAGGTAATAGTAATCTACATTGAACTGAAGACACTAAGGAAAACAAAGGTTGTGAAAGCGCAAAACATAAGACAAAAACAAAGACAACACACGAGAAAACTCACCCATGTAACCCGCTGTACCTACGCGACCCTTCACAGTCCCACCAACGGGTACCTCCACAGCCAAGCCAAGGTCTGATATCCGTACGTGGCCTATGGACGGAGAGGAGTAAAGGTGGAGGAAACGAGACAAGAAACAACAGAAAGTGTTGCCCAACCTAAATGGTTGAAATCGATAAACGAACAAAATTTTGAACCATCTAAGAACTCGGTTCTCAGTAAGAGCCACTTATTAAGGGAGGATTTGCACGAAGACGATTTTTTTCAGGGGAGGAACTATTGACAGACGTACCGGTGTATTGATACGATAAAACCCCTAATACTGGTAACTCTAAAAAAACCGATTCCCCTATATTCCGTCAAATTTCTTTTACAACTCTTATGGAATGTGGCGCTTATTTTCCAAATAACCACACCAGATACACCTACCAGGGGAGTACAGCAAAAATATGGCAATCTTTCAGAAATCTCAAGCACCACAGGACAAGGATCATGCCATAGAGAACATCAATGGTTAGTGAGACTGAAAGTCGCTATCAACTTCACTATTTCTCCTCTGTTAGTAAAGTAAAAGCACCTGACATTATTGAACTCTGGAGCATTGCTTGAATCGATTAATACAGGTTATTATTTAGAAAATCCTAACACCATTCACACATTGTCTCATTATTTTCTCAGGTTTCAACTTCTGTCCAGGGTCACAGACTGGTGACCGGAACCATCGTACTGGTGCACACACTTCAGAGTCTAAAAAAGTACAACAACAGAGAATAACCGTTTGTGAGCTGGGTGGCTTTATGGGGAACTCACACGCCAGCTTTCTCCTGCATTTAAATACTGAACTTAAACATCATACGTTCGCGGTTCTTTGGGTAGACCGGTGTGGTTGGCCCACCATAAAAATTGTATGTAAACAGCAAGGGCTGAGTAAGGGGACAAGTCACAAAGAAAGCAATCTAACCAGGATAACCATCAAGGAAATGAATTATGGAACATTATTAGAAGTAAGCTAAAATGAAGAAACACCAACCTACCCTGATCATCGATGAGAATATTCTCCGGCTTCAAGTCACGATAAACTATGTGTTTCGAATGCATATGTTCGAGACCCAGAGCAATCTCGGCCGCATAGAACCGACTTCGATTCTCTCCCAATCCTGTGGCGTTGGTCATGTTATGAATGTGGAATTTCAGATCCCCGCCGTTCATGATGGTGAGCACCAAACAGAGTGCGTCTTTGGTTTCAAAAGTGTAAGCAAGGTTGACCTGCAGTAGAACGAACGCAAAGTGCACTGAGGGATTTATGAGCTGAATGTGGAAATAGCTACTCTCATCAGAAATTGCACTGTATAAGCGAGTCGTCCCTTATGAGAAAGATAAGAACGATGAATCATATTAGAACCCATAGGAGGCAGGAAGGCCCGAAATGTGAACCCAACCAATAAAACCAAAGACCATAGTGAGGGCACCTGATTAGGCGACGAGCACAAGGACATTAACCAGTACAGTGGACTAAATAAGAGTGTAACTGACCAATCACTCTTCAGGTCAAAGCAAGCACAACCCAAAATGATGACGGGTGACTCGAAACTGTTAGGCGGAATTAAGTGCCGATAACACCTTGCTGCTCGCCATCAGGTGCTGCTACGGCCAAGAAGCATAGCCTGCACGCGATGGGCCAAAACATCGGGCCGCTTGCTGGTCCAACACCAGAGCGAGTTCTGATTGGCCGAGGGTTTGAATGCAACAGTCAATCATGATCCAGTATGCGCCGAATGCCGAATCCCAATAACGCACCTAGAACGTGTCGGAACTTCCAAAATATTGTCGCCGCATTCACTCCATGTATGACGCAATTCACGTATTTTTTATCTGGTTTTGAGCATTAATAGACCTATTGCATCTTTGGTGGTTGTTCTGATGGGAATCCTAGCTTGTAAGGTTCAAACTGAGAACTAAACTGAGCAAATGCCGTCAGTTCAGTTAGCCAATGGGAACTCACGATGTCTATTAGATATGGTCAGCTTCTAGAATCATGGCAACAGCAACAAAAACATTTGAAGGAAAGCAACTGAAGCTCATGGGATCACTGACTCAGACACTGCAATCCAGACATCAGCAGCTAGTACCAGTGAGCCTTCTGATTCTTCGGCTGATGTATTCGCGGTTCCAAGTACGGAGTTCATACTTGACCCTCATTCTGGTCGTTTTCGACTCCTGGCTCGTGTTACAAAGACATGCTCAAAGCTGATTTATCCAAATTCGACGACGGATGAAAAGTCAGACTACTGCTGCGAAAACTTGTCACACCTGGGTGTGAACGGCAAAAAAAAGTTCGCTCCCCCCCCATATCTCCTCAATCTCAGCTTCGATGAAATAGACAGAACGCTCTCAGATACCAGGTGATCAAACACGGCTGTTCAGCATCCATTAACAATGCCCCAAGTTGTTCAAGAAAAATTATAACGACTTCATCACGTTTGCCAGTGTCATCCGTCGGGAATGAGAGCGTTTTAAGCTCAGCAAAATGACAGTATCCTAAGAAATCCAGATAGCTGTTGCATCTTATGGTCCAATGTGAACCTACTAGGCCTATGAGAATGTCGATTGTGCAAATATCCATGTTTTGATCACCCCATCGGCATCCATGCACAAGTACAATTACCCACAGTTTTCGCTTTCATATGTTGAATATTTCCTGTTTGTCTTAATGTGTCTTCTCATTTTCGTACCAGGTGAAATGTTACACAGTTTTTGACCGTCAGCAACAAAATGATACTGCATGTTACTGTCACAGAGACTGGACCTTACCATGATGTGGTGGTTTCTGTGCCTCCGTGACCCAGTGAGCTATACTGAGTAGCGTCCGTGCGACATTCACAGTCTCTCATACAAGAATGGTCAGTGATTAGGGATCTGACTAACACAGTCTCCTAAGGGGGGTTAGAACATGTGTGGAGAATTGTTTTGTAAAAATTAAAATGCATTTGTCACGCTTTTGAGACAAAAGCTTAGGTTGATGGCTCTAATGGTCCCCCTGTATACGCGTGGGCGCCTTCGCAGTATCCCGGCCAGGTAAAACCATGAATTATACAACTAGAAGTAAACTCAAGCCACATCGACCATCGCATGGTGTCATCAGCCTGGTCGTCTTACTTGTTGCATACAGCAGGGCGGGTAAACAGGAACATGCTAGTGCCGACGCCGACGCCGCCCTCTCACGTTTTCCCTCCTCTACCCTACCCCACCCAAATTTGAATACTGTCTCCGCAGGTACCAAAACTAGTACTGAACACTTTCTTATCCGTGCACTACACTCAGCTGTAGCTTCTGTATGTCAGAGTTCAACAACAACTATAAACAATTCAAATTCTTTTCAAACCCCGAAAGCCTATCTACTTAGCCGCCCTTAATGTTCGCACACTGAAGCAAGCAGGACAGCAGGTGGCTGGATTCCTTCTGCACTGATGTATGTTGTCTGTCAGAAACAAGGATACAGAACTCTAGTACTGTAATTGAACTGACTGCCCCTTGCTCTCGGCCAGGTTCGGACTGGCACCTCTGGACTGATGTATGTTGTCTGTCAGAAACAAGGATACAGAACTCTAGTACTGTAATTGAACTGACTGCCCCTTGCTCTCGGCCAGGTTCCGACTGCGCACCTCTGGTGATACAGAGGCCGCTGAAGCTGGATATCATGGGGTGGGTAGTGTATTGAGCGAACCAAGCTGAGAAAATACCGTTACTAGAGAAACAATGAAAGAAGGAAACAGCTATCGGGATGACTAATCAAAGCAGAGGAAGGAAGACCACAGCGCAACACAAGCCACAAGCGGGCCAAGAAACTCACCGGAAGGCTATCTCCCAATTAACCAAATTACGTCGACAGGTGGACCAAGTTCGACCTTATGCCAGACTAGCCCATTCACTCCCCACCACGAAGGGGCTCAGAGATTGCTAATCTCTCAGGTTCTGTCTAATTGGTGACATCCTCCTAGTTTTGGTAGTACGAGAGGTGGCGTGCAACTTCTTCCTGGTCGATGATATCGTTCCCATACGATATGATATTTAATGTTTACGGAACAGTTGACATCGGAAGTGAGCCGTTATGATATGGTTTTCTAACAGACAGAGTGCAAAATAACTGCCCAGTACTAGGCTGGATCTTTAACCAGCACTCACCTATCCGTAAGACACTTCCTGCTTTATGTATTCGGGATGCCCAATATCTACAGCAGAAATCTAACCGATAAACAGCAAGACTGAATAGTCTTCAGGAAGTTCTAGCTAGTCTGTTGTCGGTGCGATATGAGCGCCTCATTAAATGGTCCAGGGTAAAGATAAACGGTTGGTTCAACGCTTCTATACGGAAGTGAAACATGGTCTCTCCGGAGTGAAGATATCAGAGGATCCATTTTTGCCTATGAAACATCTCGAGCGCCTGTGGCGCCAGTGGATCAGCAATGCCGAGGTGCAATGACATAACGACAGCGACCTAGGCCATCGCCACCCCTGATGATTACAGTATGTAATACGGATGGCATTTTCATAAAGGAAACTACTCACAAGGTTGCTGAAAACTCTTCGACAGCCCACGACCGGTGTCGCCCTTCTTGGGGCTCATCAGGTAGGCGCAGCCCCGAGTTTCCGTCAACCTTGTGATCAGTAGTACTTACGTCAATCTAAAGGATGAAAAGACCCCCATATTTGATTACGATTGTCATTAAGACATTGCTGTTGGGCTTCACTGGAACGTTACATCACCCCCTCAGTTAGTAAACGGTGTACGAATGTCAGCTTCGCACAGCCACTCTGGTACAATTCATTGATTAGGAAGCGTTAGAATTGGTGGTCAACGGATCAAACAAAACTTTCGTCGCGCGAAAAGTACATACTCAGAGATCTTAGTACAAAGTGTGGCACCATAACAAACGGCTGTTCCCCCTAGTATTGATTGAGTAATTCTTGAAAGTAAGTCGTAGTTGAACAAAAGGGTCGTTAATCCACTTTTGAAGGGACTGACGAACCATATGGGGCTTGATGTTCAGCAGAAAAATACATTATCCACATACGTCCGCTCCTTTGGTTAGGGAACCCCGACCTAAAGCTGCCACCTTGACGTGGTGGTCGGGCTTCAGTGCTGCAACGATCCTGCGGGCTACACTGGCTGGAACTTCGTTCCACAAGGTGCAACCATGCCAGGAAGGCCAAAGGGGAGCAGCCAGACCAAGAGCAGCGAGACC